GCTGTTAAATGTTAGGGATACCATGGTATCATACCATTGTATCCCATGGTTAACATGGTATAAGTGAAAAAGCAGCCACTAATAACTGTGTAATTAGACATTTTTGACTACTTCATTTTTAGAGAGAACTGACTAAAACGCCATAAAGCCACAACTTGTCAGTGTCATGGAAACATGTACGATAATGAGCGCTTTAAAGGTGGAAAGAAAAAATAATTTACAAAATTAATTGAAGTATTTCTATATACGTGATATTTCAGAACTTGTTACACAAAATGAAATCTTATGTGGCAATTTCATTTTTAAAACACAAAATTAGAAATAATTTTAATTTTTGCGTTTTAAGTTTAAAATGTAAGACCGTATGTTTCGTAAATCATAGCACCATGATAAAAAACAATTCGTATTCATAGAATTTAGCAAATTCAATTTATGTACTGGTAAAAACTTTAAACAGTAACTTAATTAATTTGTCCATGTAATTAAAACTATATTGTTAATTTGTGTGTTATGACTTTTATGTATATTTCTTTCAATATACTTTGTTTTTATTTTAATTTAAAATTCTTAATTAAAAAATCTAAAGTATTACATATCCATAATATAGTATTTAATATATGTAATTATATCGTCCTAATAATTATTTCGTCCTAGGAAAAGTCCAGGGAGTCAAGCCACAAAACCATAAATCCGCAGACCAGGCAAGAAAAACGCGCGTAAATATTTACTGTCGCAAAAAAGTATATTTTTTAATAATAATAATAATAATAATATTTATTGTGTAAAAATATGTATACAAAAAAATTTAATACATTTTTCCAAAAAAACTTTTTTATTCATATGAGTCAATCCAAATGAAAACACCAAAAATGAATTTAAAAGTGCGCTACATGATTTTTTATTTTAATGAAAAAATTTGAGAATGATCTTTTAGGTATCATATAATATATTATGAAAAACCGTTGCCGTTTTAATTTTTAGTTGCTTTATTTTTAATCGGCACCCTTTAGAAACCTGAAATCGTGTCATTTTCTTACTCTCTTATAGGAGGCTAAAAATTTTTTTCTGTGGCAATTATTGAAATGATTGTTATTTTATTTTACTGCCTAGTAAGTAAGTTTTCAATATTAATTATTATTATCTAATTAGTTCATCTCATAAAAGAATGGTAAACCACTAAAGATTTGTAATAATTTGCCAATTTTTGTGATTTGTGTCTGGCTCCTGTGCCTATTCTGCTAAATCTAGAAAGTTTTTTTTTCAGGTATCAAGTAGGTACTTATATAATAGAAAACGTAACTATTATTTTAAGTTTCTAGACTATCATTTTCTTTATTAAAAAAATTATTGAATCATGATAATTTTCAAAATTAGCCAATTTTGCCCTCAGGAATCATTATGTTGAGGAAAAAATAAAAATCTGAAACTTTCAGGAAATGTAGTCCCCACCTTCATCTTTCAGTCTACTTAGTCTTGTTTTGTTATTTTTATCTATGTAGAATATATAATAATTTTTTTAATGCAGTTAAGAAGCGATATTGTTAGTTTTATTTATAATTTAAAATTTAGATCGCTTTGACTTAGTCAATTCATGTTTGGTAGAGAATTGTCAGAACTGTCAAAAATATTTCATAAATATTATTTGTGCGTATTTAAATTGTGATTTCAAAAAGTTTGCAAGTGTAATAAATGACGGAGTGTTCGAGATTCATGAATTTAATTGCAATTAAAAATGCAAGAACATATCATAATTTTGTACCTCTTTCTCATAAAAAATATTCAAGTTCTGAGAAGTTTTGAATTGTTAAAAATAAGCAAAAAGCAAAAAATATTCTAAATAAACCCCTTTATTATAACATGTTTTATTTTAGCCAGTTACCTAAAAACTAAAATTTAAAGAAGTATTTACAGATTGTGTAAATTTTAATTTAAAATACATACATATAACTTTTAACTATTCAGTGCCTTACTAAAGGGATCAAAATAATAGAACAAGACTAACTTGGTTTAAATTGTGAAAGAAACCGACAAAAAACTGCTTAACGCATTTTTTATACGTTTAAATTAACTCTTTATTAATTTCACTTATTATACTTTACGATATAAACCATAAGGATCTTGAATATATTTTTTAAATTCTTCTTCTTGCAAATAATTGTACTTTCCACTTGCAATGTTTATTTTGCTACTTAAATTTATTTTAAATTAATTTGTAGTTAGACAGGGTGGTAGTTTATGCAATAAAAATAAATTATTAGAACCTTTTAAAAGATACCCATCTTGCCAGGTTTATTTTGCAATTTAAAAAATTAATTCCTGAAGCAGGGAGTACTAAAATAATAAATGTATTACAAAGACTTTTTATTCAATAGTAATGTTTATTTTGCCATTTAATTTTTTAAATAATTTGTAGTGGGACATGGAGGTAGTTTATAAATAAAAAAAATTATTAGTAAAATTTAATATAAACCCATATTGAAATGTTTATTTTGAAATTTAAATTTTTGGGTGGGGCAGGGGGTAGTTAAAATAATAAATAAATTAATAAAATAATGTATTTATGTAATATACTGCATCCCTGTCCCACTACAAATTAATATATGAAATTAATTAATATTATTAGTGATATGAATTAATAATTAATTATTGATATATCAATTTTAAATAGCAAAATAAACATAGCAAGCTGGGTATTTATTAAAAACCTTTCTAGTATTTATTATAATTGGAATGTTTAGTTTGCCAGTTAAATTTATTTATTAATGGAAAATATTTTTTTTATGATCGTTATTAAAATGTAACATACTAATATATTTGTATTATATTATTTTAAATATGCGCGGTCCTCAACAATGCATTGCAATGGAGCAAAACCATACTCAAGCAACAACTAATAACTGTTTAAATGATTAAATCCTTTCAGCATTCATTAGGATTTAATTATAACACAAGCTGGTTCGAATTAAATCACTAGATGAGTTAATGTTTCGATACCTCACGTAGTTTAACTCTCGAGCAGAGCAAAAGTATTTTAAGGGTTGGTTTATCATTGTCCAAATAAAGTTGCTGTTAGTTATCTGGCAGATAATTTCCATGGATACCATTGTTCTCACAACGATCGATAAATAATATATGTCAGATAGACTAACTGGAACTTAACCAGAGAATCATAAAGTCATAAGTCGTTTAAATATTGCCCAGCTTAAATCATATGAACGACCCAAGTGTTCCCATAACCAATCGATGCAACCTCTTTTGGATGACTTATTACTCTCTCTTAGATGTAAATAAATAAAAAATAATAATTTAACTATTCCCATTTAAATATTAATAAAAGCAGTGCATGATCAAACCCTTGGGCAGGATGTTATGAATTATATCAATTTAAGAAATTTGCACTGCACTGCTTCTAAGCCTTCATAAATCCGATTCCAGATTAAGGCATATTCCAGTTTAGATCTAACAAACGCAAAGTAAAGGTCTTTAAAAGAATTAAAAAGGTTTTTGGGTCTCAAGCCGCGTCTCGTAGTAAATCTGTTTGAAACGTCAAACAGATTTACTGCGCCATGTTGATGTCTTTTTCAGAAAACTGAAACTAAAGAAGTTGGATCGACTGTTGTCCTTATATAGGTGTTTTTAGTCCGTTGGTTGGGGCTTTCCGATGGATGGCCTCAGTTGTTGTTTCACCTGTGGTTTCGGGTCCGCTAGTTCGTGCTTTATCACTGATACATATAAACATGTTCTTCCAAATGCGGGCCAATTCAATCCCTTGGTCTCTGTTAAAGTTGAAGCATTTTAAATCTCTATAGATTATTTATATGGTCTCGGCCAAAAATTATTACGTCTAGATAAGACTGTTGTTTTTTCAAACTTTATAGAATGCCCAGTGTGGAGACTCTGATTCATATTCCTTATTGGTTGTTGTGTGACCTGTTATTGTATTATTATATTGTTCATTGCATATTCATTCTTACTTGATCAGTGACAGAGTGTACATGTGTTAAGTTATTGTATGCGATAAAGTTGTTATATAAAATTGTGAAAATAAACTATTATTATACAATATAAGTAGTTTTACTTTCCGTGCAGGGTAGCACACGCAGTATCCTAGAAACTTTTTTACTTTTAAAGAAAAAAGCCTTAGAGATAAAAAAAGGTCTTAAAAGTATTTCATTTTTAAAAGTTGTATTTTGAATAAGAAGCCTAGTTATCTAAGTGACGAGTTTATAGTTTTTTCTATAAGTAAGTTTAGTTAAGCTTAGACATTGCAGCAGTATATTAGACGTTTTTAATAATAGTTATTAGAAATATTAAAATATTACTTCCCGTTGTTATTAGTTCATATGCCTTATAACTTATATGGGTGAAAATCAAAAAATCTTTGGAAAGCGACCTACAACAATTAAAAAACTAAAATGTTGCTTTTTGTCCATTAAACTTTTTAATATTCTAAAATAAAGATTTCGCAACATAATAAAGCTAATCTTTGAGATCAAGGAAAGGTAGTTTTTTTGTTATGTTGATAATTGTTGTCTTCTGATCTCAATTATGTCTAGTCGGTAACAGTATAGTTTGTCGGGAATAAAGGTTCTGTAAATGGAATAATAATCAAAATATATGTTTAAAAAAATACTTTTAGTAAATACCATTAAAATCAAAACATATTATTTGGATATCTGACCGATATTTTTTTAAATTATCTAAAATAATGTAAAAATTATAAAAACTTGTGGAATTTTTATCTATAGTTTCATAAAAAAAATAGAAATCTGACTTGTAAACGTGTATTATTCTCGGTTTTTGATACACTGTATTTATATCTTATAAATAAAAATATAAAAAAATACAAAGAATAACCAGTATTTAAAAATAATAATAATAATATTATGCGTTACCGATAGGACATTTACGTTACCGACTAGACTACATATATTGTATATTGTCTGGAATATAATAAAATCCACTGCCGTAATTTAAAGTAAAATTACACATTATAATTACTGACTTTAATTAGTATCTGACACAACAAATTAACTTAAGTTAACAAAAAAATATATAATAAGATTTAATTTTGAAAAGCATTTTTCAAACATTCGTCAATGATGCTAGATTCCGGAAACTGAAAACGAGCATTTTTTGCTGTACCTGGTATCTCAAAAGGTGGCTTTTTTATGTAATATAAAACTTTCTTTTTATCGATATCTTGTATATCTGTTTTTTTGGGCCAAATAAAACAACCACCGTGACGAGCCATAAATTTCACATTCAGTTTTTCTTTTAAAGATTTTAGGATAACACCTAGAAAAGAAAATATATTTAGTTTTATTAATACAATCTACGTATCCATGTTCACACACCTGGATACCATTGATAACCATAAACAACAGCAATCCAATCTTCACCAACCCTTTGTACACTGTTTGGGTTATCAGAATCGTTTGGTATTATAACTGGTGTTAATACAATTGGCGAATTATTTTCAAATGCTTGTGAATAATTTGAACTAGATGCTTTATTGTTAAACGAAATTTTTCCTTTGCCTAATGTATGGTGCAAACAAACTGCGTTAAAGTCACATTTAAAGCAACTAAGTTCACGGAGATAAATTGAATTTCCCTCACTCTTTGTCCATGTTATCTGATGAAGCTGCATAATTTTGGGAATTGCAGGAATTTTGCCTTTAATGAAACTTTTCATTTCTTCAATGTCAGAACTTTTTACTTGAAACAAAAAAATTCCTGGGCACGCCTTTTGTAGAAGGGTTACGAACTGATATACCGTGGCGACATCATTTCCTCTACAAATGTACTTGTCCGCTGTTCTTTTAAGAACACCGCCTACGCCGTCCATGGGTCCTTTCCCATGCCCTGCTTCAGTAAAACTCCAACTACATTTTATTATGTAAGGGCAAATTTGAGAAAGCTTTTGGGTTAATATACTGAAATTATATCTGTTTTTGTATTGTGCCGATGGCCCATCTGACACAAAATGAATAGTATCAATTTCGGGAAACTCATTTAGTTTTAAAAGAATGGGGTTTAAATGTGCCCATATAGCGTGTGCACCATGATCTAAGCAATCAGAAGAAGTTGCAAATGAAGTTGTTTTAATATTACCAAACGATTTTGTGTATTTAACCCCAGTATGTAAAGACAATTGTACCTTAGAAGCTCCAAAATGCATAGCTTGTGCCTCAGCATGATACTTGCATACAAAATTTTCGGAAAAATCGATTCTTAGTAAAGTTTCGTTGTGGTCCAAAGAAGCAATTTTTTGTTTTATTTCTCTATACTGATGACACATGTTAAATTGGTGTTTTAGAAACGGTGCCAGCTGCTTTTCGAACATTACCATCATATCTTTTACCGAAATTTGATTACATCCTTTAACCATTCTATGTACTTCTTTATCTTTTCCTTTTATTTGTCTTATTTCACTTATTCTTTTCCACTGCATAACTGTGTGCATTGTGCTTAAAAGATCAGTGCTTACGTCGATTTTTTTGTTAGAGCATTCCCTACATTGCCTATACATACAGGACTTGTCGATAATATTGCAACAAAATATTGAACACACAGAATCTAGCTTTTTGCTCTTAATTATCTTTAACTGGTACATTTTGTGAAGTAAAAATTCAAAGTTTGCATGTTTAACACATAGGCAAGTATCCCTATCTGTTAGCTTGGGCTGAACAATCCATGTAGGCCGAAGTCTTAAAAAAGAAGAGTATGAAATAGTCGACTTATATTGATGTTTGTACTTGGTAAAAATATCTTTCATGGACATCAACAGCAATCTCTTTTGTTGATTTCTTTTGTGGTCTTTTTTACCAGGGCACATTCTTGAGTTCCGGTCATCTTGTAGAAATCTCAATATATTTTCCTGTTCTCGAATCAATTTTGTATTTTTCTTTTTGTTTATAGAGGTAAATAGTTTTCCACTTGCAATATTTTTTCTATCATTATAATCCAACAATCCCTTCGCTGCATTTAATAGCCTGTACTTTTTAAAATATTTATTAGACACCAGTTCGGCAATAATTTGTTTCCTTTTTTTGCCAGATGTTTTCTTTTTCTTTGTTAATTCTGAAGTGACTATTTCGCCTAATAACAATTTCTTTCTGATATTTTCGAACACGGGCTTGTTGCCTAACATTTGTCTAACCTTTGTGCGTGGAGATGGAGAATCAATGATATTTACTTGATTTTCGGAACTATTTACTTTATTTTTCATTCTTTCATATCTTTTTTTGTACTTATCAATTTGGCGTTTATAATTTTTAAGTTTTAGTTCGGCTTCCTTCAGCTTTTCTTCAGTCTTGATTAATTTGCGAAAAACTTGAGATCTTTCTCGGGAAACCTTTTTTCTTCCGCATAATTTTCTAGAAGAACTAGTGCGGCTTATTATCTCAGTGTTGTTATTTTGATTCCCAGGTGGTGATGCAAGTGCCCTTTCTTTAGGGATAGGAAAAGAAGTACGACAAATCTCCATCTGAATAACATCATTACTCTCCGCACGTAGACTCTCTGGAGAATCAGGTGGAGTTTTCTCATTTAGCACGTTTTCGAGTAGTTTTTCTTTCCTAATTCGAGATCTAGTTTTTCGTTTACTGTCTCTCCAAGTCTTTTTCAACTTTATTTTTTCCCTGTCGGATAAGTCTATAAATGACGGATCTTTTAACCGCTTAGCCCTTCGATATTCCCTATCCCTCTCTCGTTTCTTCTCTTTTTCTTCTTCACTTAAACCTGCTCTGTGACGACGTACTCTCTCTTTAGTTTTTTCTCTAACAGTTTCAGAAGTAACAAATTTCTTGTTTTTCTTTTTAGATTTACCGATTTTACGTTTTATTATTTTAGTTTTCTTTCTTGAGTCTTTTTTCTTACAAACAGTTTTAGCTATACATTTATATTTATAACATGATCTATTATCAATATCCACGCTGTCTTCAGTCTTTGAATTGCTTTGAGTAAAAGGAACAATATTATTATTCTTAAAACCGCTGGAACTATTTGTGCATATCGTAGATTGAAAATCATTTTTATTACCAATTTTCTTTTGTCTCGTTTTCTCTTTACGCAGGGCTAAAGCATTTTCTTTGTCGCTTTTTAATTTCGCAAGCATATGACCATATTTTTCTTTAAGGTCCATATTCTTACTGCAAGCAATAAACAAGTTTTAAGAATTGTGATACAAAACAGTTTTGCAGAAAATGTATTGAAGCACTTGTTAATTGTTGCTTATATAATTCAGTCCTGTCGGTAACAGTTAGTCTTGTCGGTAACAAATTATTAGTTGTAAAATTTGTTACCGACAGGACGTTACCGACAAGACATTATATAACCTAAATGCTTTTTAATTTATAAATGTCAACTAGCAAAAAGTAAGGTTAGGTTCAAATTGCAAATATTGGTGTTATACATCAGAAAAATGTAACAAATCTCATATCGACATCAAAATTTTACCGCTAGAACAGTTACCGATTAGACATCGTAAAAAAATACGGTAGAGTTTTTATGCAAACAAGCCTAAATATATTTTTTTAAGGCACAAACAGAAAAACTTACCTGGTTTGAATGACACATAAACAATAACTCTAGCACACTAACCAACAAATGACAGGTATTACGTATCCTGGCGGATTTTAGGCGAAATTACAGTTATCGTTACCGACAGGATGCGATCAAAGCAGACAGTCTGTTACCCAATGGCTGGATCTTTAAAACCAAATTGTTTTTAAATAAAATGTAATTTATTTAATACTTGGTGTTAGTTTCTTTAAAGTGATTTACATTTGTCCTGTTTTTAAAAATGATTTGATTGAAAAAATCTAGCGTAAAATTGTAAAACGTAATAAGGGACGCGTTACAGACGAGACAAAATAGCTCTTTTTTTTTCTTTTTAATCGATGTTTTTAAATCTGGGTAAATATTTAATATAACTCTCGTATAATTAACATGCAGAAATAATCCTAATAAGTTTTGAGACACTTCACTTCTTTTTCTAATTTTTAATTAGCCAAAGACGCCTACCTAAACATTTTTTGATTTTTACCCATATATAAGTTATAAGCTGATTATTATTTAAATGAAAAGCTATTTAAGAGTTTACAAACAATAGTGCATAACAGAGGCGACAGTATCCGACAAGTATAAAACATGTGTTAAAAGAGAGATTAATCAAGTCACATAAATCTATGGTTATATCTTAACTGAATGTAATAAATTTATTCAATATTTTATTTATATTTAAAATATTGTATTAAAAACAACATTTACATAAAACTGTTTGATTAGAACACTATTAGTTAAAGGAAATGTGATATCCGTCTTGATAGGTACTGGTATTATGTTTATGTTAATAAGTTTAAACTTTTATACGTCAGAACTTAGGGATATAGCGTTCCAACTCCAACTACGCAAAAATACAATTGAATTTCAATTTATTTAAGTAAATGCCAGTCATATTTACTATATGCATAACCCTTAAAGGGTGGAACTAAAAGAGCACTTTTGTATATAAACTTTTGTGTTATATTCCATAACATTGCAATATGTTTGTTTTCTCCAAAGTCACCAATTTGTGTGCGAAATTAAATTCGATAAGCAATCTGACAGTGACGTTTGAAAAATTAAATTTGCCCACCCTGTCAATCCCTTGTCTATGCTACCTGCCTAAACCAAACCAATAGATGACTATCTTAAAGAGTATATAGTTTGCAGCCAAATGATGCGCCCTCTCTGAACTTGGTTGAAAATTAAATTATGTATTTACAGGCAACTGTTGCCAACGTAGCTTTTAATTGGTGAAAAATCAACGTATTTGATTGGTTACTTCAATGGCGCTATATTTAAAATCTAACTTATGGCTAGATTTTAAATGTAATTAGTAACGAAAACAATAACTTTGTTTTCTACCATGTATTTAAGGTACTTCTGTGGTTATGCTGTTTAGTAATTCTCAAGCAACTTTTATAAACTAAAGAAATTCGTAGATTTATGTAAAAGCAATGAGGAAAACAAATGTATGTAAATGTAAAACAAGTGTATTTAGTATTCATTTGTAAAATCTGTGATTTTTTAATTTGTAAAACTCATTGAATCATTATCATACTTATTCCCAAAAGTACGTACTTTTGGGAATAAGTATAATAATGATTCAACGAGTTTTACAAATTAAAAACATCACAGATTTTACAAATGAATACACTGAAAATAATTTTGTTCGTAATATCAATAAACACTATTTATCGAAATTTATTTATTAGCATAATGAATATAATCGTTAAGTCAATTATTAGGGGTTCTTGGATGATTAACAGGGTTATTGGTTTAACGAATTACTGTTCATTACTTTTTTCCTACGAAGTCAGTAACTTTTTTTACTGACCCAATGAATCGTGTTCATTGGGCCAATAAACATAGTACATCAAGCGCGTTTACGTAAATTGATAAACAAAATTCGTTAGATTAATGAATACTGGGCATTAATCAATGAATGCATTCGTTATATCAATGAATCAGTTCGATAAATAAATGAACGTGTACATTGGTTTAAAGAAATATTTTGATTGATATTACGAACAATTGTACGTCAGGACAATGAATTCAATTATTAACTGATATAAGGGTTTTTCTAAGCCAATAAATGCATTCATTGACTCAATGAACATTTATTGACTGATGAATACATTCGTTGGGCCAATAAATGCGTTTATTAAGCTGATAAACAGTACATAAAATATAAGAGATTTTATTGGTTAAAACAAAAATTGCCGGGACATAGGTAAATTTCACAAAAGACACTATAAGATTTATCCAGTCTAGTCCCTAATTACCTAGGCGAAGGAAGGTCTCGTCGCAAAGGATATAGAGGTTCCCTCGCGATACTTATTATTTACGCAAATCAATTTCTTTGGGTTTTATATAAAGGTGAAGTTTAAGTTGATATTCTGGTTTAAAATTCCAAAGGGTAAGTACATTTTAATTTACATATTTCACTATGCACTGCTTTTTTGTCATAATCGTTTTGCACTTTCGTTAAGGATTAGACATTTTAAGCGCCAAAAGGTTGTTTGTTAATCGTTGCAAAATCTATGTAAGGATACAATTTTGATAGCGGAGACGAATTATTCTGTTGAATCTCAACTATCCAGTTCAAATACCATTATAGGGTATTTTAAATCAATTGATCAACCAACTAAAAATATTCCTATTATTGCTCACCAGATCGACAAGAACATCTTAAATGATGAATCTAAAAAACCCGGTACCTTCATCATAGATGAATATCAAAAAAATATTGATAAATTTGTCTTGGCCTTACACAATAACAATATTTTTTCTCGAAAGGATGTGTTCAATATTCTTAAAAACTTGGATTCTTTTTTGATCAAAACTTTTAGAAAACTTTTGTTAAATCAATATAAATTTGTAGTTCCGGAAACTGACGGAGAAGCATGCCTAAGGGCATGATAACTATTGGAAGACATGGTACAGATTAAACGATCTAGAAATGGCAGAAAACTGTTGACAAATCTTGAAAAAATTGTCTCAATACAAAATTCTAAAGGGATATCGATTGGTACGAAGTATGAATTAAAAATCGAATGTTTAGTAATATTACGAGATGATTTATTTTAGATTGATATGGATTTTGAAGGAGCATTTTCCAAGAGCGACTGCTTACTTAGCCATTGGGAGGAATGCTTTCAGAGGATTTTTGATATTTTGAAAGTTCCAGGTAACCTTAAAGAAAAGACTACAAAATGTTTGCTGGACAACATTGAGGGTGAAAGTCATTTCAATATTTTCAGATGGGTGTTATGCGGCAGTATTATGGGCCCTACAACACTACAAATTAGTGTATAAAAATATGTAATGGTATATTTTCACCAACTGTTCATCTTTTCCATTCCATAAACAAGGCAAACATGTTAAATGCATAGTTTTTGACAATAAATGTTTATTTATTTTTAATGTATTCTTTTATTAAGTAGTGTAGTGTATTAAGTAGTGTAAATAGTGTCGTTAGATTAATGAACGAGTTGACTGAATGATTGAGCTAATGAATGTGTTCATTGGATCAATAAACCCGTTTATTAGATCAATGAATACGTTCGTTGATTTTATGAACAAAAATAATTGAGCTTATGAATGTGTTCATAGATTAATAAACCCGTTTATTGGATCAATAAATATTTTCATATAATCAATAAACCTGTTGATTGAATGAACGAATATCTTGATTGCATCAATAAATAAGTTCATTGATTCTACAAACATATCCATCAATTTGATAATAATATTTATTAAATCAATAAATATTTTTATTAACCCAATTAAAAAAGTTAATTGAGTGCACTCATGATATCATGATAAAATTATAAACATCGACTAATGTACAAGTATTCGTTGGCCCAATTAACTCGTTCATCGGACGAAAAACGATAAACAGAGTTCGTTAAGCCAATAACATTTTTATTAATATTACGTACCTTTTTGGTTCAGTGTACTAAATACACTTGTATACCATTGAATGCTACCATTCATATAGGGTAAGAAACATTGTTTTTGTTATTTATGATAGTAAAAGTAACTGTCTCATTGATCATTATTTTGAAATTGAAGAATACTGTTAAATCCATAAATTTTATTAAACAATACATGCCTACCATCTGAAAGATTATGATTCGGTCAAAGTGTCGTTTATAAATTATTATTATAATACAGAAACAATACACAATAAAAACACACAAATACACAAAATCTTACAAAAATTCGATAACTACGGATATAATTAAAGGTCAATAAGGTCAAAAACGTCAAAACGTCAAAAAGTTATAAAATCCGCGCCCTCTCTTGTCTTGAATAAATATTATAATACTGTCCCGAAATCCGACATAAGATATTTATCAATTGGTTTGGTATAGGCCTACCTGTATGCCTTCCAATTTTAAATACAATCTTTTTGGTATAAAAATGTCAGTGTGATTAACTGTAATCAGATTATTTTATAAGAAGTACGTTTTTTCTGAAAAATTAAAAATAAAAAATGTATCTGTGTGACTCAATCCGTTAACATACTGTAAATTACGGTGTCCGTTAATTTTGTTATTTTTAAATTTCTTTCAATCCCACCAAATATGTTGTAGAAAAA